CAACAGAATAATAATTTACACGTTTGTGAAGGAGTTTGAAGTTAAAGGTACCATAAATGACACATGACTTAATTCTGGTATTAGAAGACCAAGAAAAGCCGATCTGAAGAGAACATTGATACCATTGATAGAGTTGTTACTGAAACTTTACACAAATCCCTTCGTCGAGTCATGTATGAACAAGAGAGAACCTTTGGTAAATCTAGTCATCTAAAAATACCAAAACTTGATTTAAAAATCGATTTCTTACAAGATACGTGTAAAGCAGCATTTGAAAAAGACAGAAATTAAAAGTCGTTTGACTTTGCCCATTGGATTTTTATTAGACCTGAGTCTGAAAATTTAAAATATGCATGATTTTTTGATGAAGGCCACTTCTATTTAAACAATGTTGTTAAAAGATAATCTTATATAAAATATCATTGTTTGGTGAAACCCAATTTCAATGTGGAAAAACTTCAAAATTGTGAGAATATGTTACATGTAACGCTTAGCAAATAAAAACGTCAGGAAAATGGACGTTATTTGGAACATGTTGTAAAATAATATACAATTATGGACTTCAGTGTAGGTCGATATGTAGTTATAAGGACTCATGGCAATTGATATTGACCTCAGACACAGAAAGTGATAGCGACCGAGCCTGCAAGGTCGCTATCATTTTCTGTGTCTGAGGTCAATATCAATTGCCATGAATCCTTATTACCACATATTGACCGTTCACTGAAGTCCATAAAAGTTATATTATATAATCACTCAAAGTAAATGCACCGACACAGTCATAACACAACGGACTTGGCTGTCATTACGTCACAATGGTTAAATTCACGTTTCTTTTATTGTGACGTCACGTTCTACGTAACTTCAGTGCAACCGAACGGCGTGTCGTGCGATATCATTTTCCTCGGACGCCCTTTCGCGTCGTTATCGCAAAAGGAGGAATGACACGTGACGTCCTTTCAACCAATGAAAACTACGAAAACAATCCTCTTATATAATATCATATGTTATTTTAAAGAAAAAAATATTGATGATTAACAAGGAAACTGTGACAAATGCATGCTTCACAAAAACTTTATAACTTTTTTTTTATATATTTTGAATTTCATTAATATTTTATCGTAACCTGATGCATAATTATTTTTATAACGGCTTAAAAGTGTAAGATATGTTTTGGGACACTATGTATATGTGTCATCTTGTTGGATATAGCGACTATCAAATCAAAAATGAAGATACATGTATCCTATAATTATATTCAAATACACTAGTAAGTCATATTGGTAATGAAAATATCAAAACTGTCTAACGGATGTTTGTTTTAGTAATTCTGATACTTTAAAAAAAAATCTTGTTTTTTAAATTGCGTGTGGGATTAGTCTTTAGAAGACAGGTCTTTCCCGTAGGTTGATGTTATATATTTGAAAACACTGACATACGATTTTCAAGTTTTACATGTTTTTTATCTCACCTGATCTAAAAGCTTCAGTGAGCTTTTCTGATCACATTTTGTCTGTAATATGTCTGTTTAAAAACACTAAATTACGATTTTGAAGCTTTACATCTTTCTTATCTCATCTGAGATAAAAGCTTCAGAGAGCATTTCTGATCACATTTTGTCTGTAGTATGTATGTTCGTCTTTCTGTCTGTCTAGCTGTCCGTCTGTATTTTTTTTATACATTTTTGACTTCTCCTCCAGAACCACTCAGCTAATATCAATCAAACTTGCTACAAAGCATCCTTGGGTGAAGGGGATTCACATTTGTTTAATTGAATGGCCACCTTTCAAGTGGTGAAAATTGAGAATTAATGAAAATTTGGTGGCATATTTTTAAAATTTGCTTCTCATAAACCACTGTGCAAGGAAAGAAGAAACTTGAAATCATCCATAGGAAGTGTAGATTCAAGCTTGTTCAAATCATTGACCCTCAGGGATAAGGCAGGGCCACAAAGGACCATCAAATTTTACATAGAAATTCTTAGAAATACAGTGTATATAGGAAAAAATATCTTATTCTCAAGAACATCGAAGCCATGATTAACCATATTAAAAGGTAGTGTAGATTCAATTTTGTTCGAATCATGATCCCTGGGGGGTAAGGTGCGGCCACAGGTTTACAAAAAGATAGGTGTATATAAGGAAAATCTTTAAAAACTTCTTCTAAAGAACATACAAACTGTAATTGATCATATCTATATGAGAGCATCATCTTCAGGTAGTGTAAATTTCGGAATGTTCAAATCATGACCCGGCCCTGGGATAGATTTGGTCACAAGGACCATCAAAGTTTTACAAAGAAATATAAAGGGAGTCTTTAGAAATATTCTTCTCAAGAACATTAAAGACATGATTGGTCATATTTGTACGAAAACACACTCAGGAAGTGTAGATTCAAGTTTGTCCAGATCATGACCCCCGGGGGCTAGGGCTGATCATGAGGGACAATCAAAGTTTTACAGTGTAAAATACAGGTAAAAAGTATATACGAGGGTTGTCCGTAAAGTTCGTGGACAAGCTCAGAATTGAATAAAAGTTGCGTCATTGATATTTATTATTAGCATAGTTTTAATCCTTTACTAAATGTGAACTGAGAAATGTAAAATCTGATTTAATTTCAAATGTTTGATTAAAATTCTGACTTCATAATAAGACTTGGTATGGAGACCCGGAGCACCGCAAAATTTTAATTAAAAAATTATTTATCACTTTATAAATTTCATTTGTATTTTAAAAATAATGCAGAAATTTGGATGACTTTTACATTATGAGGTTGACAGAAGTTATCACTTCAAACCTGCAAAATTTGAACATTCAAAGTTGTAAAATGGCTGAGCAATCAAAGTTAGAACATGTTAAGACGGATTGGAATTGTTAAAAAAAAAAAAAGGATGTTTTCGAAGTGATAAAATTTTGCGATGACATCGGATAAACACCTACAGAGACCAAAACATTTTGTAAACAATCGGGAAAACATAGGAAAAGACGCCGTACATGTACATTAGTATTTAAGTGGCATATAATATTTTCGGACTTAAGGGACAGTTTACAGGATGACATGCGTGAAGGAAGACCATCATTCCGAGATTGCAGTGCTGTAAAAAATGTCGTAACGTGACTTTACCGTATTTTCGTGAATAAAATCTTTTTTACGCGGACAGAGGTTGGAGGATTGCAGGATATGATGCAGGCATTGTTAAATATTATTTTACGCATGAAACCCGAACATTTTGTGCACATATTTATGAATGGTTAAAGTGACATAAGAAATGTATTGAGTGAAACGGTGACTATATTGAGAAAAGTTACATGTACTCGTATAATGCTTTTGACGTCGGGTAACGTCAAGAATTTTCATTTTAGTGCTCCGGCTATGAGTCTGTGTCTTTTTTAATCTGATAAAAATATAATTATTTGTTCTTTGTATTTGTTGAAAACTTGCATGTTAATAACATGAAACATGAATTTAAGGAAAATAATAGTTTCATGTCTTATATCAATGTTTGTCAGTAATTATCAATGTTATCCACGAACTTTACGGACAACCCTCGTATAAAAAAAAAATTCACGGACTCATCAAATCCATGATTAATCATGTTTACATTGAAGCTTCCTATGGTAGGGTAGATTCAATCAATTTTTGTTCCAATCATTACGGTAATCGGGGGGAAGGGTAACAGATTTAAAGAGTAAAAAAGCCATAGTAAGTAAAAGAAATATGCAGACACCTTTGTTAGTGTAAATCCAAGCATTCAACTTTGTTCAAATCATACATGTAGAACCCTCCATTAGCCACAGTGCTCAGGCGAGCGATGTGACCCATGGGCCTCTTGTTTATCTCATGTTCCTCGGATAAGTGATAATTTACCATCCTTAAAATGCATTTCGTTTTTAGTTATTTTTAAGCTTAAGGAATTGTTTTTTTACCTTATCTGTGATCAATCAAGATACATTTAGATACAAAATTTCAGATCAATATCTGCAAGCATTTAGGAAAAATAGCATAATAATTTTTATACTATCCGTCAAAAGTTTATTACAGAAACAAGTTCCTGTGAAAAACTGTTTAAAATTAAAACGGCCGTAATTTTCTTATGAATCGATGAAATGGAACGAAATTCAAATTTGATCTGTAACTAATCAAGATACAGACCATTAAACGTGCTACTACACTTCAGAAACGAAACGAACCGTACCGTTGAAGAAATTAAACGTACAATACCGTTCACAAAACAAACCGTACCATTCAAAACAAAAAACAGAAAAAAAAAAAAAGGTTAAACACACTTAAGTCAAAATTAAAAAAAGAAAAAACAAAACGAAACAAAAAAAAAAAAAAAATTAAGGAAGGTATAACAGATCAAACATTCCAGTTTCTAATTACTTCATTGAAAAGATCAATTGGTTTGCGGCCGAGTTTGACGCAATATATGTTTCTTGTCCTTATCTAAAACGCATCATTCGCCATTCGGAGAGCTATGTTTAATGACAACTTACATTAGAAGGCTTAGCTCCCTTCCGGATTTCAAACATGATGTGTTACAGTTTACATTGTATATCTCGACATAAAGATGACAATTAATCACTGATTAATACAAAATTAAATAAAATGACCACTTAGTTTAGATATATGTTAAAATGTAAATCCATATGTACATGTAATAAAATTCAGCTAATTATCATTTCCGAAATCGAAAATAAGTTGGGATATATACACGATCTGTAGGTGGAGGCTTGGAAGCCTGGACGGACTGTTACATTTACTTTATATACCTTTGATTATATTATCCCAACTTGTAAGTCCTCAACCCCAACTCTCACCATACAACAAATGCGTGATCAGTTTTCTTAATTTACTTTGTAAAAATAAATTGGAGGATGGATTGGTTTTTTTTCAATATTAACCTTAAGAGTATAATTAGACTATTTGAATGTCTACTTGACACATTTTAGTGATGCCAGTATTACAGTGTATTTATTTTTTTGTCTTTCGCAGATCCCGACGTAGGAAATTACAGCGCTTGGGAGACAAGGATATCAGGTGAACAACTATCTTTTACATTTACTTTTTTTTTTAGATGAAAACGAGTTCTTTGATACACTTTTTAGGTCACCTGAGTTTACTATTTACCTGAGTTTACCTATTGCTATCTGTTTTCGTCCGTCGTCGTGCGTCGTCCGTCGTGCGTCGTGCGTCGTGCGTCGTGTGTTAACATTTGAACATTTTCAGCTTCTTTTCTGAAACCACTAAACCAATTTTAACCATATTTGGCACAAAGCATGTATGGGTGAAGGGGAACAAAAATTGTGAATTTCATGAACCCTGCCCCCCTGGGGCCTGAGGGGTGGGGCCAAAACCACTAACATTAATGCAATCTTAAAAAATCTTCTTCTTTACTCCTGGACATCAAGCAGTCAATCTGTTTGCATGATTGTAATCAGAAATGAGTTCTCTACCAAAATTGTGAAATTCATGGCCCTGGGGTCAGGGGTTCTAGTGCTAGGGCGGGGCTAAATAAGTAGGTAGTGAAAATGCATTATTTCTTTGAAAATCTTCTTCTCTGCTCCTGGATTTTAAATAAACCAACTAAGTACATAGTTATGATGAGCAAGAGTGCCTCTACCAAAATTGTGAATTTTATGGCCCCGGGGTCAAGGGTTCTGGTGTAAGGGCGGGGCTCTATTGATTATATAGTGAAAATACATTATTTCTTTGAAAATCTTCTTCTCTGCTCCTGGGTATTAAATAAACTAACTAAGTTCATAGTTATGATGAGCAAGATTGCCTCTACCAAAATTGTGAATTTTATGGCCCCAGGGTCAAGGGTTCTTGTTTTAGGGTGGGGCTCTAATGATTATATAGTGAAATGCATGAATTCTTTGAACATCTTATCCTTTGCTCCTGGTTAATATGCTAATGATCTAATTACATATTTAAGGCCAGGATTTATTTTATTTTCAGTTTTATAAACCCTCCGCTCAAGGTTTAGAATTTTCAGAAAAAATAAATTTTTTTCTTTCCGATGTCAAATTTGAGTCGGGATCGAGATTTCAAATTTACAAAGTCGCACTTCCGGTTTTAAGATGAAACGGCGGGTAAATAATGCTAGATCTATCTAAGAAGATAGCTTGGTTTAGTGTAAAATTCATGGATTCGAGTGCCATTCAAAACGTTTCACCCGTTCAAAGGACAAATAAAATGCTGACGACTTTGTTGCACAATGACATGCTGGTGAGATAATTATGTGTTAGTTTCAAAAGTATCTGTAAATTATTTTCTTCCCCCAGGTTTTAAACTGCCAGTGGTAGCTATTGCATATTGTCAGCGACATTGTTTAGATCTCTGTTTTAGCTTACAGTCTAAGCATCATTCTTCGGAAAAGGGTTGCTTATGCATAAAATGTAATGAATAAAACTATGGGAGAAGTTAAGTCCATTTGAGGAAGAAATAAACAATAACCTGAAGAAATATAGAAAAAATTCAACTATTAAAAGGCAAAAATATACAAATATATACAGGCATGAAGAATCATTTGTATCAGCCAGTAAAATTATTTTACACTTAATTGAAAAAAAATGTTCACCCTACTCACTGTCTGTTTTATGATAGGAATTATATAATTTTAGGTATCAAGTAAATTTTAGAACAATGCCTACACATTCACCTAACACATATCAAAAAATTGAAGATATATTGAAAGACATTGAATTGATTTTTTTACATACATATTGACCAACATCACAAAATTTATATAACTGGCCCAAACTGGCAAATGATGAAATAAACAATGTTCTACTTTCGTATTTGTAAGCATTATGTGTCCATTGGTAAGGAGCCTATTAGAATGGCATAAAATAGAATGTACAAATGTTAATAATTGATTTATCAAAAAAAAAATTATTTTCTTCTCATTCAGGACATTTTCATTCTAATGTTCATAACTAAACCTAAACATAAAAAAATGCTGGCCTTGTAATGAAGAAAGGGGCCTCTTTCAAAATAGATAATTTCAGGGCTGCTGGGTCAGGGGTACCAGGGGGGTACTTTGACTAAAAATAAATTAATGCTTTGAAATCTGCCCTTTGATAAGCAATGGTGCCTCTTTCCAAATTTGTGAATTTCATGGCTTTTGGATTAAAACACGAACCAAATACAATCACTGGAAAGTTGTTGCATGATACTCAGGTGACCTATAAGGCCCGTGGGCCTCTTGTTTGATTAACAGTTAACAAAAAGTTAATTGCATAGGTATAATAAATCCTTTATTTTATATATTTTTTTTTAAGTTTGCATTGATTTCACAGTATTAACAGATAAAAAGTCTTTATTTTAAAAGCATCTTTACTCGCTGTCAGGGGGTATTATATAATCCAACAGGGTTGAAAGTCATTTTTTATTCGGTAAAAAAAAAAATACCGGGAACAGCCCATCCTCTATCGTGTCCCTGCACCAACATTCGCATATGGTACGTTACTGGCAGAAAATTGAAAATTGAAAAAACAGCATCACCTACACACAGTTATCGTTTCAATAAAACATAGCTCAAAAACATAGCTCTATCTCAACTAAAGCTGAAATATTCCTTACTGTGCAACACAATTAAGTACATGTAGAATTCCGTATTTGTCCCCCTCCTTCAACTGTTCGTCCGTCCGTCTGTTCATCCATCCATCTGTCTGTCTGTAACACTTTCGTATCTGATCGATATCTCAAGAACACTTTGAGCTTTTGCAATGAAATATTACATACCCTCTGGCCAGGAAAGAAAGGAAATACAATTAATAATGATAATTGACATTCTTACGTCAATATGATATATCCTGATGAGCTTGAGATAAAAGATACCACAGAGTCCGACACCTCTGCTTCATATTTGGATATTTTGCTTGAAAAAGACGCTAATGGTAATCTAACAACCAAGCTTTATAATAAACGTGATGACTTTAACTTTTCTATCGTCAACTTCCCTTACTTATGCAGCAATATACCTTCATCACCTGCATACGAAGTATGTGTAACTCAGTTGATTCGATACCCAAAAATATGCTATACTTATCAAGAATTTCTTCAACGAGGTAAATTATTGACAAACAAGTTGATGAAACAAGAATTTCAGCAGTTTCGTAAGTGCCATGGTCGATACAATGACCTTGTCAGAATATACAATTTATCATTGAGTCAAATGCTGACTGACGTTTTTCATGCCATTTTTAGTCCATTATTTAAACACTGACTTGACGACGGATTTTTTTTTACAACGATCATGATGTGTGACCGGTCGGCAGAGCATTCTCACTCCTCCATGGCACCTGATCCCACCTCTGATGTTTCGGAGGTCCGTCTTTGCTCCGCTCTTATTTTGTATATTGTTTGATGCACTTTGAGATTGAATACTGTTCATTATCTCCATATCCTTCTTTGAAGTGAAAAAGTCAAATGTCAAGATAATAAAAAGATAAATTTTGTCTGGTTCATTTCCACTCAGAATCTTGGGAATCGTTTGAGCAATTACAATGAAATTTCACGTGTACATAACAACTCCCTGTGGCCTAAAAAGAACCATATTGAGATCTAAAGGTCAAAGGTCAAGGTCGTAATGTTATACATTCTGTCTGTGTGTAACACTTTCATTTCCGTGCGATACCTCAAGAAGCTTTTTAGCTTTTACAATGACATTTTATATCTGTTCACATATCCATATTGCCTCTTTCACGCCTTTCAAACTAACCCGTCCCATTAAAAAAAAATATTACTTCTATTAAAACTCATTTGGCAATTTTTTTGCACACGAGCATGAGAAGAGTTATTACGTGTAATTCAGGTTGTCTGCGCTATGCGGACTTTATATTCTTATATTTTTTTAAGAACTGTCAAGTAAAGGCTTTAGACACCAGCGAGCATACTTAAGAAAATTTCCTAAGACGTGTTTACAATACTTGCTAAAATATATCTTTATATCTTAGGAATATCTTAGGATACGTCCTAGGGTGTAAGACAAAAGCATTCAAGGCATATCCTAAGTTATAAGATGTCGTGAATTCCATCTTAAGCATTTAATTTTTTTTTAGGTAATATAAGCAGTAGTTAGTAGTTAAGTTCGTTTGTTATGTGAAATTAACTGTTATATAACAGAGCTACTTGTGTACAATCTATTTAACAAAATTAAAACAGAAGAGCAGAACTACATCAGCGTCAGAAAAGCTACATTTGTAAAAAAAAAAAAATACATATATTTAGCTTCGGATTGGTCGCACGCTGGTCTGAAAATAATATGGCTGTCGTCTATTCCAGTTTTTTCAGACAACGGAGCGAACTTAAGAACTGCGGATAATGTTTATACGAGGGTTGTTCGAAAAGTTCGTGGACAACTGCTATATCTTTTTTATTTGACGTCATAGGTTATACAAATTTGGTAAAAATATTTTAACAATAAATCCAAATTATATGTAGTAATTTTGAGAAAATATTACGACTGATTAAAAACTTATCCAGATTTTAAAATTGCAAAAATTGGATCGCGGAGCAGGTCAAAATTTAGTCTGTTACAGACAATACAATAAATAATTTTTATAGTCATATTCTCTGTAAAATGGAGGAAAAACGAAAAACTATTGTTGAGTCACGTTTTGTCCGCCGTCACGTTATGTCCGCTGTCACGAAATGTCCGCCTCTTTTTCAGAAAAATCGTCACGTTATGTCCGCCGTCACGAAATGTCCGCCACTTTTTCAGAAAAATCGTCACACTGTGTCCGCCGTCACGAAATGTCCGCCTCTTTTTCAGAAAAATCGTCACACGATGTCCGCCGCTACAAAATGTCCGCCTTTCTTCTAAACACATCGTAATATCATATTCCCTGCTTCAAAATGCCTGCATTCTTTCTAAAACAAATCGTAATATTGTCCGCCAACAAGAAAAGTCCGCCTTTCTTCCGAAAAAACAAATCGACGGATTACGTCCGCCGCCAAGAAATGTCCATCTATTCTCGGTAAACTCGTCACTGATCACATAATGTCCGCCGTTAAGAAATGTCCTTCAATAT